ATCACCATCATCATGAGTAGCCATGCTGAAAGCGCACGTCATGTACTCAGTCTTCGTCCTACTAAGTCTGAAGCCTTTCGACTCTAACGTGTCCTTCCACAGCTCTAACTTTCTATTTACCTCGGCCCTACTCTCGTCAACTAACACCACATCATCAGCAAAGAGCATACACCAAGGGAGATCACCTTGTATGTCCCTTGTGACCTCATCCATCACCAAGGCAAATAAATAAGGGCTCAATGCTGACCCCTGGTGTAGTCCTATTTTAATTGGGAAGTCGCATTTTTGGTCCTAGTTTAACGCAATAGCATTTTTAGCCAAGATTCCAACTTTTTCTTTTTAATCCTGTAATTTAGCATTTTTGGTGCAATTTCAGTCCCCATTTTGCTGCAATTTCAGTCCCAAAGACTGAAATTGCAACAAAATTTAAAATTACAGGACTTAAATTGTTAATAAAAAATTCATCCCAAAGATTTTTTATTAGCAATTTAAGTCTTATAATTTAGAATTTTGTTGCAATTTTAGTGCTTGTTTGGAAGCACTTCTAGGAAAGTCCATTTCGTAATGGACTTATACAAAATGGAATTCTCCAAAAGTCAAGCATTCATTACTTCTATAGAATGGACTTCTTGGAGAAACAACTTATTCATAAGTCCATTTTTTATTTAACACCAAACATAAATATTAACCCAAATGGACTTTTACATCTAAAAGTCCATTTAAGAAGTGTTTCCAAACAAGCTCTTAGTCTTCAAAGGACTTACATTGCATTGAATTTTTAAATCATAGGACCGAATAACAAAATGTTCAGATTTTGGACTAAAAACGCCACTAGGTCAAATCAACATGACTAAAATTGCAATTTTGCCTAACCCTCCAAAAGTGGGAGAATTTGGAGGGGAGGGAAAATTTTAAATTGTAAAATTAGCTTGTTGTCCTTCATGTGTGATTTTTTGTTTCTTACATCATTAAGGGTATAACTGTTATTTCTACAATATTTTCTTTCCCCTCTATTTTTTTTAACCAAACAATGTTTACCATTTTTTCTTCACTCTCGTCCTACAAAATCCCTACAGGTAAAATTATTTTACATCACCTCCTCTTCTCTCCACTTCCTTCCATTAAAATTACTCCCCTCCCCTCCCCTCCTTCAGTTGAACCAAACATAGCCTGAGGTGTGCCAACTGTGAAAATGAAATGGGTCTTTTTTTCGTTAAATACCGAAAAAATGAGGTACCGTATTGATTTTTTTTTAATACATGTCGACTCTGTTTCAATAGCCACAAATAGAGAACCGAATATTCGGTTTGGTTGGGTTCAGTTACTGAATAAAACCTAGCCTAACAGCCACAAAAACAATGTAAAACAAATTACAACACACAATTATTATTCTCGTTACTAAAATTAATGACATAAAAAATACCTTCCATTGTCCGCCACCATAAGTGCCCCTCCCGAAAACATCGACACCCATGTAAACATCATATTTTCTGTCACCAGCAACATCAGCAGATAGCTTAGGATAATCATCCTGTATCATGCCAAAGAAAGGAAACACGGGAAAAGTTATGAAAAACAAAAACAACATCAATATATTTGGGAACATGAATATAAACTATTACCAGCCAGAAATAATTGACAAATATGCCATCACATCTGTCAAAGAATGGCTTGTTTGAAGCGTTCAATTGATTCTGCCAGCTTAAAGAACCATCAATCGTGATGCTATCATACCTGAATCACCAAGTATACAGAATTCTTGTAAGGGGAAAGACACCCAAAGTTACATCAATATCCGAATTACTCCATTCATAACATTCACCATATAACCAAGGAGCCAGGAAGCTTAGAGTGCAAAGTCTGGGTGAAGTAGCTGACAAAATCTTCCAGAATAAGAATTTTTTCAGGCTCCGCATCAACTTCCAAATTTATCTGTGTTAAATACAAAGAGAGAGAGAGAGAGAGAGAGAGAGAGAGAGAGAGAGAGAGAGAGAGAGAGAGACTGCAATTTTAAAAATCATATATGCTAGAAAGGAAACATGAAAAGAAACCATGCAGACTTGTGGTGGAAGCTTTTAGAAATAAATATATCCTCCCACTGTTCAAAAAATTATGTCATTGCTATGGTCATCGGTCTTTCCTTGCATTTCAGAGTTCGATTCCCGCCCTTTCTTTGTCTCCATACCACGAAATGAATATAGAAATTATTTTGACAACAATATAATGTACAACCATAATCAAACAATTAATTCAAGCTTATTTCTTTAAATTAACCTTATGTGAAGATTTTACAAACGACTAAAAAAATGCATTACTTACCAGCCAACCATCAAATCCTAAAGCAACAGCAAGCTCTATCAGCCGATCGGCGTACGTATGAGCTGAGCTTTTTGATGATAACAATATATTAATGGGTTTTTCCCCGGTATCATCCCCCTCCTCCATTATGAAAGTCCCTAATACCTTTATGTAAAAGATTCACAATCAGTTCTTGTGGACAACCAAAAACCAAGTGTAGTAAGGCACTTTTATCATAACTTGAATATAAGAGAACAAATTAGTCAATAGGTAATTAAAAAGTAGAAATAGTTCAAAAAAGGAGAAGAAAGTGAAATCCTTCACCACAAACTCTTGTTGTTGAGCAACTAAGATATAGTCTGACTCATTTTAGTATGTCACTCACCCTTACTATGGACCCTTCTAAATTAACATACCAATCACTTATAAACTGTCATGACCCTAGTGGTCTAGTTTGCCATGTACTTAATTGTATTTCATTTACTTCAGTAATATAGCTTAAGGGTCAGTATGGGTTTGTTAGCTTAGCGACCGTTATATACACAACGGTCACCTTCTTCTGGAGGCACTGTAACAGAAACACGAAACTTGATCCATGGAAAATATCTTGAGGTCTTTTTCAACTCCTTCTGTGGCTTTTCCGCTCTGATTATCAACAAGGTATCAGAGCATGATAATTGATCGACGATGGCGCAGAAAGACATTGTGACGGGAAATCGCAACACAAGCGAGGGAAGCTCCGGCGAAAATCGGCAACAGATGGTACGGCCAGAAGATACCTTCATTTTACACATTGGTGCAGAGCTATGACGATTGCCCTAGGAGCGAAGACGAAACTCGGTTTCATAAATGGTGGAATTGCGAAACGAGAAGTAAACACAGCTGAGTACGAGCAATGGAGAAAGGTAGATTACACAATCTATAGTTGGATTCATAATTCTCTAAGTAAGGATCTAGTCGATGCTTTTTTGTATGTCGATTTTGCTCAACCACTGTGGGAAGAAATCGAGCAGCGATTTGGGGAAAGTAACGGTCCTTTACTGTATCAATTGCAAAAGGAAACTGCAACTATAAGGCAAGAGAATGATACAGTAGCAGGTTATTTCACAAAGCTGAAGAGACTTTGGGATGAGCACTCCAGCTTAGCGCCATTACCTGCATGCACTTGTGGTTTAGTGCAACAAATGATTGTGATGGAGGGAAACAGGAAACTATTACAGATTTTTATGGGATTAATTGAAAGTTAAGAAGGTATTTTGAGTATTTTGCAGATCCTTTGCCTACAGTAAACCAGGCCTACTCAATGATACCATGGGTTGAGAAGCAAAGAACAGCGCAGCAGTTGTTTCCTGAAAACCGAGAACAGAGTGCAATGTTCACTAATGTGAATTACACTGGTAGAGGAATGAGTAGGATTGGAAATGGTAACACCACAGGACAAGGAGGGTAAGCCAGAGGTGTAATGAGAACAAGATGGGAAAGGCAGAGGTGTAATCAGGACGACAAATGAAGAAAAAGCAAGGCTTCAGTGTGACTATTGTCAAGGAAATGGTCATCTAGCTCTGAATTGCTTCAAGCTACATGGTTACCCTGAGTGGTTCAAGACTCTAAAAGAAGAAAGGCAAAAGTCATAGGGAAAATGTTGGTGAACACTATGAGGCAAAGGCAAAAGGATCTAACAAGGACCATAACAAAGCAGAAGGATAGAATGTTGAGATGCCACTTCAGGACATATCCAGCTTGATTAAACAAGAGATAGCCAAGTACATGTCGACACAGAAAGGCATCACAGTTCTGAGGATCCTCAAGGACATGCACACTTTGTGGAGTTTGCAGGTACTGGAAGGTAAAACCTCTTATGCTCTAACTAGTGCTGAACAGATAGTAGGTATATAAGCAATGATCCTAACATTTTCAGCAAAATGCATGTCATATCACCTATAAAAGTCCTATTAAAAGATTGAACAAATTCTGGAAATGTTACCATAAATTCTCACGTTACCTTAAATGATGTCCTTTACATACCATCCTTTAAATACAACCTGATCTCACTTGCACAATTGGCTCAACAGTCAAACATAATATGCACATTCAACCCTCATGACTTTTCTTTGCAGGATGTGGAGACTAAGATCACCATTGCTAATGGCAAGACACAGTGGGAAGACTCTATATTCTTCGCCCATCTCATTTCAGTAATACAGTGTCAATAAGGAAGGATTTGCCATTTGTCATCAGAGTTTAGGTCATGCTTCCATATCTGTACTTGAGCATGTGAAGATCCTTAGTTCAATTTGCAATGTTGAGTCAAGAAATCATGTCTCAATGTACTGTTTGTCACAACCTAGACTTTCATTTTCTATCAATGAATCTCATGGAGACTCCTTGTTTGATCTTGTACATTTTGACTGACCTGTGGGGGCCTTATAATGTCCCTAATATCACAAAACAGTTCATACTTTCTTACACTTGTTGATAACCATAGTAGGGGAACCTCGATTTATGTGCTTAAACATAAAACTCAAGTACCAAGTATCCTCCAAGATTTTATACAGATGGTGTATACAGTATACTCAGTTTCAAATTCACATCAAAAGGTTTAGGAGTTACAATGGCTCAGAATTTATGAGTCATGAATGTCAGGAAAGATTTTCTAGTAGAGGGATATTAGTTGTCCTTATATTCCCCAACAAAATGGGGTAGTAGGAAAAAAAAGATAGACAACTACTTAATTTAGCTAGAGCAAACATGTTCCAATCCCATTTGCATTCAAAATTTTGGCCCTATTCTATCCTTCATTCAGCCTATTTGATAAACAAATACCTTCAAACACCTTATGATATCATACATGGTTTTCCACCACTACAGTTCACTCAAGGTGTTTGGTTGCTTAGCATTTGCTACGAATCTGAATCCTCACATGTCCAAATTCTCTATAAGATCATCTATTTTGTTTTCTGGGGATATATCACAGGAAAAAAGGGATATAGATTGTGTGATCTGGATAGTGGGCAGATACTTGTCTCAAGGGATGTTAAATTTGTTGAAACCAGTTCTCCCTACTAGGTTAATGATGATTGGTTGATGATGATCAATCTTTAACTTCTCTACCTAATATTCCACTCATTGAACCAGACTATGGTATTACTGAACCTGAAACCCCAGATATTCATTATGAACCAATACCTCAAACTACTCCACTCACCAGAAAAAGTACTACACCAAAGAAAAAATCCAAATTACATCTTACACCATTCAACCATTGTCTTCTCAGGGTGCAATTGATCTTGATCCAGGTGACTATGGTAACCTCTTAAAATCCAGATTACATCTTACACCACTCCTTTTTAGCAAGTTTATCTAATATCCATGAACCTAAGTCCTATGCTCAAAATAACCGAAGTCCTATGCTCAAGCTAGTAAGGCTGACGAGTGGATAGAGGCATGGATGCAGAACTAAGGGCATTGGAACAGAATAACACTTGGACACTAGTAACTTTACCAGCAGGAAAGAAATCCATCGGAATTAAATGGGTTTACAAAGTGAAAAGCCTGATGGGTCTATTCAGAGGTACAAGGCTAGGTTAGTAGCCAAGGGTACCATCAGGTTTATGGAATTGATTATCTAGATTGTTTCCTCCTGTTGCAAAGATGGATACTATCATATTGCTCATAGTAGCTGCACAAAAGCATTGGTCTTTGCATCACTTGGACATAAATAATGCTTTCTTACATGGTTTACTCAGTGAGGGCATATACATGGCACCTCCTGAAGGATATACTAAAGCACTACCTGGTCAGATTTGCCACTTGAAAAGAAGTTTGTGTGGCTTGAAGCAAGCTTCAAGAGAATGGAATGGAATGATAAATTTTGTGCTAAGCAACTACTGTTTGGATTTGAACAATCTGCTCATGATCACTATTTATTTGTCAAGAATTGTGGTGACAGGCTTATGGCATTAGTAGATGACATTCTACTCATTGGTACATGTGAGGAAGATTTGTAGGGTCTAAAGGTTTATTTGGATAAACTTTTACTATCAAGCATTTAGGAGAAGCCAAATACTTCTTGGGAATTGAAATAGCAATGGGGTTTTGCGAGGATTTATGTTAGTCAAAAGAAGTATGTGATGGACACTCTTGAGGACACAGTCTTACTACTTGCAAGCCAGCCTCTACTCCTAGCCTCTACTCCCTTGCCTGGTGGATTTGATTGAAACTTTCAGCAGGTACACGTTGTTTAATCTCAGAACGAGATAGATATTGGGCGCTAGTGGGCAAGCTCTTATATCTCAATCTCACAAGACCTAACCTTACCTATGTTGTTCAACAGCTTAGTCAATTTGTGAGCCAGCCTCACTCTTCTCATTCGGATGCAGTTTTCCTTTACAAGCCTACTAGCGGATTGGAGAGTTAGCCAAGATACTAGAATGTCACATGTGTTTGGAAGTGCCCTCATTGCATGGAAAACCAAGAAAAGGTCCTCGGTTGAAGCTGAGTATAGAGCTCTTAGTAACAGGATTTGTGAGCTGCAGTGGTTATCCTGTCTTCTTAGGGTTTTGTGTATCTCAGTGCCTACTCCTATTCCTCTTTGGCGTGACAATTAAGCAGCTTTGTATATTGCAGCCAACCCGATTTTTCACAAGTGCACCAAGAGGATGCTTGGATATAAAAATTCTCAAAAAATTCAAACATTTATACTTCATTTACTTTTTTTAACTCAACTTGAACTCAACCCCACTATCATCAATATTATCAATATAATTAAATAATAGCACTCAATCATTCTTACGTATTACATCAACTTTAATTCACCATTTATCAACCCATATAATTCACTATCATCAATACTCTGTGAATTGGGGAAAAAATAGAAAAGGACTATTTTGGGATAGCCCCCTTGTCCGCTGAAACCGTCCCCGATTCACCGATTCAAATGGGTCTTTGCTTATACGCAAGATATATCACGAGTTTCGAAGGTGGACGGTGATAGAATTGGATTTTAACTTTATGCGAAAGAAACCGCTTAATCCCAAGAGCGTTCATATCGAGAATCAAATTAATAGCGGAAGCATACCTGGATTCATCTTGATTGATTGGATCCAAACTTGAATTTGATTTTGGGATTTGGGATTTTGGAGAACTTCCAAAAGATCGTGAAACCCTATTGTTCTTCACTTCTAACATAACGAAATAATATTAATGAAGAGGTGAGTAAGCGGGGTTTATTTTGTATCTCTTAATAAAGTATCCCAACGGCCCTTTTTATTCTCACGGCTTGTTGGAACTCCACTCATTAATTGTTTTGACCCAAACTATTTGCTATTTAGGTTTTTAAGTTTAATATTATTATTTGCTGCGTCACCAAATAATAATATTACCGGGTATCCAAATTTAACCATTCCACAATTTAAATTAAGTTCCTTAGTCAATGTACAATAGTTTGATCACTTAATTTGGCTAAACAATATAATGACCCAATGTATCAATAACACATATTTAATCCAAAAATAGATCTAATAGTAGGCTCATTACTAATCGGACCAGTGTACATGCCGTATGTCGATCCAACCAGTCGAAATTGCCACTTTGGTCTTATTTTTAAAACTGTGCATTTGACTATCCATTTATTAAAAATACTTTTAATTATATTTTCTTACAATCTATCATTTTTCTAAATCACAAGGAAAAAATACTTTTTTTAAATATAATTATGTTTTACAAGATTACTCAAATTGAATTATAAAATAATTTATAATAATATTAAAACTACAATTATAACCAT